TAAATATTTTGGCAGGTGCGCTTAGAAATTAGTCAGTGAACTTTTTTGGAAATTGCGCAAACGCCAAGAAGTAGCAATGATTTTGATTCTTGGACACGTTTTCGTAAAGCTTAACGAATATTGATACATATTGGTAGGTGATTAGTCTTACAGACTGCTATGGGTCTGATCCGTAAACTGTATACATCGTGTGATTTAACGCTTCGTAAAGGAAGCTTCTTTGAGAGGAACAATACTGATGATTTACAGATCCTTTTCCTTTCCTGTCAATGAGAGCTACTTCAATGTTTACTGTTTTGAAGGCCATTGGCTTACACACTTCTTAATTAACAACTTTACCATACTTTGAAAACAAGAAACGACAAAAGGTACCGATTGAGGCTTTAGAATACCGATGTGATTTGCTGCATGTAATGACAATGTCACATCCTTGAAAACCGGCATTATGGTTTGTAGGAGGTCTTCTGATACACATTCATTTTATTTGCTCACAGAAAACGAGGCTCCTTAATTAAAATCAACGACGAAACATCCGCCCTCTCAGTACGACACAGTCAAGGACGAGGAAAAATGTCTAAACTAACAGAAATTGTCCAGTTTGGAATGATTTTACTTTTGGAATGTTGGTTTTCTTCCAGCTGCAGCGACGGAGGTTAGAATTTTGCGAATTTCTTAGATAATTAAGGTATTCTGTGACCTTGTAAGAGAAAACTGTGAGACCAGAGAAAAGGGAACATGGTTCGGAATGTGGTAGGAAATTTTGAATTGACAGGGGCTGCTGACTACAGTTTCTCATAGTAAGCAGCTTAGAATTCTAGTTGTACTGATTTATCAGTGAGTTCTAGCTAACTGGGTTGTCCTAGAACAACGATAATTTTATAGAATTTGAATTATACAGCTATATTTCTTTTCATGTTTTGCACCACACACAAAGCTGACATTAGCTATGTGATTAAGAATGTTTTTGGTTTTGCGTTTGCTATCCTTCCTTAAAGTAGAGAATGAAGCCCTTTTCGGGCTGTTCTTAAAATACTTTGGGCAAAATTAATATTACGGAGTTTAACCATTCGTTAATAAGTTCACGAACCTCAGTACTCTTAAAGGAATCAACAATTTCGAAATCTCTTAACTCTTTGACTACGGAAGTCAAATCCTAGAAAATTATATCTTATTTTGCCAGAAGTCATGTCAAAATGAATTCTAATCGAATGATGGTTGGTCAAAGCTCGGTTTATTTCTCGTCCAAGCGCACTGATCATTATACAACAACTAGACGGTATGATCTATGAGAGTTTTGATCAAAGGATAATAAATTAGACTGAGAGAATCAAGCATATCGTTCGTACGTTAGCACAACGATAAGGGTTTGTTTTGTTTAATCTCACTTTTTTTTAATTCATATTGAGTAGCTGTTGCAAGTTCTATCACGTACGGCTAAACTGACAGCTTATTTGACAAAACCTAGAGGTAATCTTTCAAAGGGGAATTGCCTTCAATGACAACTTTAATGCGGCTAATTGGAGACGTCCACCAGCGCCCATAATGAATTGCCGCGCTTCGCTTCACTGAAAACTGTCGATTGAAAAAAAAATCTGAGCCAATCTGAACTTGGACCGTCAATAGTAGACTCTTCAAATCTCTTATTTGTATCTTAATCTCTCAGTCGAGATGTAATAAATAATGCAAAATTGAATTTTCTTTCAGCATAAATTTCAGTTCGCAAAATGATAGGCGCTTTACTGAGTAAATCACTTTCAATTCTCAATTGGAACTTCCCATAATGGCAATCAATTTACTTTTATTCTTTTTCTTGACAAAAGGAACTACCGCGGCAATTACTCTCAACATAACTTGTGACAATAACCTATATTTGTACGTGGATGGCAAATATTTGGGTGGTGGTGCTACAAATGCTAGTCAGAAAGATTTCCGCACCTACAAGATAATGTCGCGTAGTCACGTGGTCGCTCTACATTGCACAGCTTCCACACCACCCTGGAAAGGAGGTATATTGGGTTCATTTGAGAACGGACTGGTGACTGACACATCTTGGAAATGCACCACAACAGCTGAATATGGATGGAATATGATAAGTTATCGTGATGATGATTGGCCAATGGCAATTCATCACGGAGCTAACAGTGATTCCACTTTACCTTGGGGAAGTATAAGCAGCATTGACAAAAACGCTGTTTGGATTTGGTCAAATGATAACGAAAATGATTCTGAAGTTTTTTGTCGTCATAAGCTTGTTGAGGAATGTACAGAAGGTATGTTATTCTTCGAGACGTTTGCATTGACTAGACCATTTTGATTAAAAGTCATAGGCCAACACTTAAGCAACCAAAACGAAAACTCAAGGCTAAAACAAGTCATCAGTTACCAGAAGAACAGGAAAACAAGCGTGACTATGTAGCGCTTGTATTTTGCATCTGATTGCTTTAGAAGGCGGGTATTTTCCCATGACTAATTACAAAGCGAATTGAAATTAGATTTCATCCCGGATTGATATGCTTTTAGCAAATCATTTGTAGGTATCGTTACGTGGTATGACTTCAAGGGTAGCATACTGTTAGGTTACGCTAATCTTGTACCCAGTTCTAACCGTGTAACTGTAATTACAACCACCTAGTTGTGGGAGGCCTGGGTACGAGGGCAACGTCATGCTACCAATGAGCCCCCTCCCTACTAGCCCCCTTTGTCAGCACCACAAAGGGGACCTGAATGTGGAGTGGAAAAAGTACAGTGGCTTGATAAAAAGTCGTCTTTTTCCATAGAAAAACAAAGTTACTTCCAGACACCAGAGTCGATCCAAGACATTGCTATTCAAGGTTTTCTGCTTCATCAAGTAAAAGTGGCCAGCGTGACAGAGTGCGGGCTCAAGTGTGGTCAAAATAGCGCTTGTGTCTCTTTCACAGTACAAAGCTCGGATATTCGAGGATCAAGATTGTGTGAACTTCATAATGTCACGATTGAGAGTCATCCGCAAAATGTTATCAGAAAGGAGGGTTATCAGTATCACGAGGTGGTGCAAATATTTCATTAAAGAATCAGTGGACCACTATTAGCAGTAAAGAAGGGTAACCAGAGGAAAAGTAAGACGCCGCCTCACACATCTTTTCAAAAGCATTTCTTGCGGATGAATGAACTTTTTGTCTGGATGGACAAGACGATCACGCTTTTGTCAACTACGGCGTTCAGTATGTCCTCTCAAGAAGTACTATTAAGCTTATCAGGGTAACACTTCACTGTATTCAAGCGATACTTGTGCTCAATTGAGACTTCAGGCACGGCCTCTAGCTTGGGACGGTTTGAAAGACAAGTTAATATCTGAATACCGTAAATGTTTAGAAGATAGATTTAAGTGGCTGTGGGCACCCCCATTCTTTTCTACTTTGTTTTACTTATTTGTTTTAACCTTGAACTTAACCGTTCCCCAAGTGTTGTGAAGTGAACCCTTAGATTTCAATGAGCAAAACCAATTTTTCGCCCTCCACTCCTTGTTTTCTCATTTTCTTGTTAAGAATTTTGATGAAGTTCCGATCAGTGTAAAAACTGAGGCTTCGGTCGCTGGACTTCAAAGGTTGTCGATCAGAAATCACACACTGAGTTGTCAAAAAGGAAAGTTACGCAAACGCATCGCGACTTTGATCCAGTAGAATTTCTTTTTATTTTCTTATCACATTGGAGCCACGGGAGAATGCTGGTGTTTAATAACAACGAGAGAGTTGATCTGGTACTCAGTTGAAATAAAGAAATAAAGTTTATGATGATGATGATGATGATGTTACGGATATAATGCGCTTGCTTGCTCCAGAATTGCGATTTTACCGTGGTAGAAATATCGCGCGCGTGTAGATTGTGAAATTTTCCAATTTCTGACCCTGAGGAAGACAACGTAGACACGCGTGGAAATTTTAAACAAGATGCCTCCGGTATTTATTATTCTACATTTGCTTATTAAATTTGTAAACTAAACTTGCGTAATTTCACCAAATTCCTTGTATCGATGACTTACTTAGTGCACCTACAATCTGAGTATTAATTACATAACTTCCTAGGGAAGATGAATGTCTCAACACGAGTTAATGTAATTAAATTAAAGTTTCATTGAGTGTCAAAAGTAGAGCAGTTTTCAACAGAGTGTGCAAAGTAATTCATGATTGTTTTAGTTTTGCATAACTTCTCTCTGAAATTGCACTAGAAAGCTCACGCCGCCCATCAGATCAATCAGATTCCAAACTAAAAACCAATCATGATTTGGTCGCCCATGTTTTCCCGCGTTTTGCCTGTTTTTACTTTGAGTTTTCATCGGCTATTGATGATGTCAACCTTCGCTCCGATTGACCGTTGTAAATCCTTCCGTTTTGGTTCTCGTGACTCAACTGAAAACTGCTCAAATACAAGATTGAGTTGGTTTTGCTTCACTGCGCTCTACAATTCGCCAACCAAATTCAAAACTAAAAACAATCGCGACTTGGTCGCCAGCATCCTATTAATTACTTTGAAATATCACGAGCTCCTCGTAGCTTTTTTTCCGCCGTTGTGATTGGACGTTGTGTTCACTTAAGTTTTGGTTTTACAACACTAAATGTATAGGCACCTTTATGGCACGCCCTTTTATAAGTGACCGTAGGTGTGGTCTATGTCTCCGTTATCCTACGCTTCTGAAAAATACATGAGTATATTCCCCTGATTAATAGAGAGGACGTGAAAATGAATCCCACAAATCAAAGCGCACTATGTAAAACCGCAGTGGCCCTGGGTATGTGCAAAGGTTAGCAAAGTTTCTATCAAATAATCATAGCCTGTACAAGAAACTAAGCGATGTTTTAAGCGCATGTAGAGTAATTCTAGTAAAAATAAAAGGGGAACGTGAAAAATAGAACAATCTTCACTCGGTATAATAGAAGCTGTAGATTTAAGAAGATAATAAAACGAAAAAGCTCACGTTACAGATTGCAGTCTCATTTCAGGATCAAGGTAAACTACGAGTTTCTCGACGAAGTCGTTGCTCAGATAGAGAACCACGAAACTTTGGATTGGAGGAGAAAAGCAATTGCAGAATAAGACTTTCTCCGGGAGAAAAAATGCTTATTTAAGTTCAAGTTCGAGGTTACTGTCGTTGAAGTACTTTTATATGAAAGGGGTTTCAATGGGGTAAACAAAGAAATTAGCCGTTAGTCATAAAATATAAATAGTTGACTGTAAAAAAGTTTCTTTTTAACTGCTACGAAAAAGAATTAAATGTTAGACGTATAATAGCAAATCTTGACCATTAGCCGTAAAAGCCATCACCTTATTGAGATTCTCTACCGACCACGCAGTTGCCTTACGTATCTTGGGCTTCAGCTTCTGTTAACTCAACTAATATTCAGATTTCTACACTATCCTAACTACTTGCATGAACGGCAGATTCCAAGTATTGAGTGATAATTTGGAACACTTAGGCTCAGTAAATTTGTATTCTATTCTGAATAGTGAGTCTGCAAATATGACAATCTTTAAGTCTCTCAGAGCACTCCTTACAAGCCCCGTGTCCACACAAAAACACCATATTTTTATCTCTCTCCATGCATATCTGGCATTGTCTGTCGTCTTGCAAAACACGCACTTGATTTTCAAGAGAACGCACTCGATCCTGGTAGTCCGTCGAGTCCATCAGGGTTGGTGCATTGATTGGCGCGCCTTCTGCAACACAACGAAGAGATCACTTCAGAATATCGGTCCAGACACAGGTTAAGGGCCTAAAAGCGAATTCCTATCGGAGCAGATCTTGTTATTTGAAGCCTGAAGCGACTAGGAGTACTGCTACTACTACAAGTTGGCGTGCTGGTCCTCAACAGAATATTTCCAGTTTGTCTTGCAGTTTTCTGGTGAGGGTGGAGAGAGGCACTGGGAACGAAACGGGCTGGGCTCGAGCTCAGAACTCAAGATCCGGAGTCTAATCTGCTTATCCCATGATCACTGCGTCCGTCCCTCTGGTTTCTCCACCATGAAGCGTCAACGACTATTGCATTTCTCCTGCATGCGATGCAAGGCCATCACAGGGAACTCACAGGGTTCCAACATAAACCCGCCGGTTGTGCTTGGTGTGCAACTAGAAAGCCCTCAGTAAAACAGTTTTTGATGAAAAGGGGCAAGGGAAAAACAAACCTACTTGACATCAATGTTTTGTTTACATGAGAAAGTAAGACAACAACGACAACAAACAAAGGGAAAGATTGCAGATCAAAACAAAATACCTGCTGCAATTTTCTGCTGAATTTCCTTATTGCACGAAAGGCAACGCTTTGCTTTGAGAGAACAACCTGCAAGGCAAGTCAACAGAAAAGATAACTTCACATTGGGGCAAAACACACTGCTATAAACAATTAAGTGTTCACTTTTAATTAAATATTGCTCAAAGTATCAAAGCAATTTTCTGCTGAATTTCCTTATTGCACGAAAGGCAACGCTTTGCTTTGAGAGAACAACCTGCAAGGCAAGTCAACAGAAAAGATAACTTCACATTGGGGCAAAACACACTGCTATAAACAATTAAGTGTTCACTTTTAATGAAATATTGCTCAAAGTATCTTGATCGTGTTCAAAAGGAATAACAATCTAACAACCGACCGACTACCTGATGGATGGATATTTTTTTTTTTGTTATACAGAATCCAGGGTTAAAGGAAGATGATCTTCATTTGTCTCGAGTGTAAGAAAAAGAAACAAACCCGAGTCCCCCACAAGCTACGGATTAAAACCTCGATCCTTCGAATTTCGTGGTCCGATGGTCCACTACCGAACCCAGAGAACTCGTCAGTGACCTACCCCCAGGTTCATTTATGACCGCTGATCCTAAATACGGTTCAGATCAGGAATAACGGAAGTGTTGTGTGTATGCAGATCATAACGGAAGGAAGTCATTTGAGCTTAAGCTTCAAATAGAGAAAGGCTTTCTTGTTTGTCAAGAATGAGGAAAGAAATAAAAATATAAGTCCTCGGAGGGAAGTCCTATGAGCTTGGATTTCATATAGAGAAAAGATTTTCTTATTTGTCAAGAGTGAGGAAAGAAGTAAAAAACTCTAAGTCCCCTGCGAGCTGATACAATCAGTTGGTCATGAATTTTACTTGAGCAAGTTATCTTGTGACCGCATGGCCTGAAGGTGACAGTAGCAGTGTTTTCACAACAGATGATACAATCTGCTCCGGCGGCACTGGCTCGGTTCACATCGGCTTGATCTAAACTATCTTGCATTTTCTTCTGGCTTGGTGCAGATCTTGTTGCCCCCTGGGTAGTAACAGATATAAAGTATAGCAAAGAATGAATTTTACAATTTTAAAGTGAAAAGCTAAGAATGCAGCAAGTGTAACCTGCAGAACAGAGTATGTCCCTCCCTTTGCGAGGCATGCGGAAGAGGAAGAAACACGTGCGTATAAGTCACCAATAACTTACCAATGATGGCCCTGATGATGATGACCTTGGTAAAGCGACTGGGGCAGGGTCAGGCGCACCGGTAGATGCGGGTGGGGGTCCCGATTTTGAATGCAAAAACTGTGGTCGAGGTTGAGTGAATGTGGCTGGACGCGAAGTGGCTCTTCGCCTACTAGATGAACAAAAATAGTATCTTAAAAGGTTGTTTAAACAATTAAAGCTTCGTAAGGGTAGTTCATGCTTTGGAAGATGGTAGAGAGAGGTATGAGAAATGTAGGGTTCCGGAAACGATAAAAAATCAGCAAGCGGGATGCTGGAGGGAAAGGGATTAAAGAGATAGGCTAAATGGAGAGGAGGGAGAGAGCCTCAACGGTTGTGAAAAGGGGTTGGAGAAGGAAGCGGAGAAGGGGGAAAGAAGGTAGGATTGTAGGATGGAAGAGGAAAGAAAGAGAAAGAGAGGAGAAGGAAGAGGGAAGGAGGAAGAAGAAGGAAGGAATGTAGGTGGGTAAACAAGGAGAAATGGGAAGGCAGGAAAGTGATGGAAAACACAACAAAATCAAAAATATGATCTACAGACTAACTAAGAAGGCGGCGCAGAAGAATATGATGAACTCAACGAAATTTCTTGGGTACCTCGGAGCAGTCCTCGCAAACTGTTTAAGAAGGTTGACAGTTTGTGGGTCTTGGCACATGTCCAGTGGGGTTTTTCCTTCGTTGTTATAAAAGTTAATATCAGCCCCATGTAGAGCTAAGTATACAGCGATAGCGGACCCAGTGTGATGGTCTGTGTCGCCAGCTGGGACATCGACCCCGAGTCCTTGCAAGAGCTAAAATTAAAAGGATGATTCGATACAGCTATTAGTCGCTTGTTTTATGAGGACTTCTTTGAAAACAAAAATAACAAAATCAACAAAACTGACTGACCGAAACAAGAAGAAAAAATATCGCATTGGTTTCGCAAATGGAAAAATTTTTTTGGTTTATTCTTTCTTTATTTTACTATTCTACCACAAAAGTACTTTCTAGGTTTCTTCCCGCTGAGTAAAGCGCTTGACGCTTGTCAAATACGATCCTGGAAAATGGCGTAGCTCACCATGGAATTCTCTGTGGCGTAGTGGTAGTGTATCGCGAAATGCGAAGTTCTAAGGTTCGATTTCTTATCGTTAATTCTGACTTTTAGTCTGCGACCAACTGAAATTGTCTCATCTCGGCGCCTATTAATTGAATACACGTACCCCTCTTAAGCCACTACTGCCGACAGCTTGATGAATAATGGTCAAGTGCAGGGGAGTGTCCCCATCTTCGTCTGCAGCATTCACATCAGCGCCATGTTCAATCAGTAGTTCTATCATGCTGGTGTACGCTTCAGAAACAGCCAGAGACAAGGCCGTCTGTTTCTTTCTGTTGCGCAGATTGATGTCACAGTGGCCCTGTTATTACACAAGCAAGACGAAGAAGTATTCGTGACGCGCGTACAAATTGCAATCCCCGCAGTAAATCCAAAATTACACTTAATTAGATAAAGGTTTGCAGCCTTTTACTTTATACTGTTATCACGATTAACAAGTACATACCGACAACAGCAGAACCCTTGCGATTTCTGTGTGGTTATTGAAGGCAGCTAAATGTAAGGCAGTAAATCCGTCTTCTTTTGGAATCTCAATGAGGCCAGGAAATTTGCTCGCGATTTTTTCAACAGCACTGGTAAGTGGAGTAAAATAAGAGTTATATTTACGTCGGGGATAATATAAAATTCTTTCACATTGCCTTCGCTCTCAATTCGGCAGCGATATGCTGGTGTGGAACCGCTGAGACACGCAAAGACCACGACACAACACTGGGGACTCCAAGCCCTGCTGTTCGCGATTAACCCAAGGGTTCTCTAACGTTTCCACGTTTCCTGCCAGCCGTGGCAGTGACGGGGTAGAAGGAAAAGCCAACGATTTAAAATCCTAATCGGATTAGAAAGCCTAACCCTTTTAAGTCAGCCAACAGGCAGCATATTTTCCTTAATTACATTGAGAACGCGGTTATTAGTCTGCAGCGAGGTTCGAACCCACGAAAACCGTGCAAAAATGGAGTGTATCGTGATTAAAGTCTAAGGAACTATCGAATACTATAACCTACTATTTATTTCCTTTCATGCAAGCTTGATGAAGTGGGTTGAACCCTCTGCCATTTGAAACAGTGATATCCAGCCTTTGGTTATTTAAAATGAGATCCATAATTCCATTCTTTTCTTTGGAGATAGAATCGTGTAAAGGAGTATCACCGGCCAAATCCTGAAGATCAAAAAGAGAAGTCAACCACAACATTTGATTCGATACCGAGTTTTAGTTCACCAAGCTCACCCATGACAGTTTGGCCCCAGGTGGATTTGAGACGAACAGGTCGCACACCTGATAATGCAGACTTATAATTAATGTAAATGCATTTCAAAAGAAAGCCAGCATAATGCAATCGACTCACCTGACAGTTGACGTCGCAATGTCGCGATGACAACAAAGCCTTAACACCAGCGTCGTTTCCTTGATTGACAGCCAAATGTAGCGGCGTGCTTTTGTTTTTGTTATCACTCACATTGACGTTTGTTCCAGTGTTCAACATGGTGATCACAGTCTGGCCACTTTTATCGCTATTCACAAAACCAATTTTCAATCACAACAAGGTAAATATAACAGGAAGCCAATAGGAACTCGAAGAAAAAAAACGAGCAAATTTTCTGAAGCACGGTAACATGAAATAGGCCGAGAACAACTGGTTTCAGTTTTGCACTGATTGGTTAATATAATGACACGAGCTTCCATAACAAAGACTCAATGAAGTTAAGAAAATCCCAAAGCAAACCAATGCGACCAAGAAAATCGGTCATGTGCGACCAGCCCCCACTTTGCAAAACTATCAAGAATATGTTTCGTTTTGCTTTCAATCCCAATTACTCTCGGTACTCAATTGAAGCTACAGAATGAAAACGTACGATTATTAGCGAATGTATTGAGTAAAAGTAAAGTCTCTTTATGAGCCAAGTGGCCCATCAGTCAGGCACTAGCTCCGCTTTCTGTAGCATGAAGCGACTAGGAGTATTTCTACCCCCCCCCTCCCCTGGATGGGATGTTAGTCCATCGTAAGGTTACCCCCAGCATTAAATTCGCCGGCACCCATCTTTAAACACCTATCTTGCCTAAGAACACAACACAATGTCCCCGTCCCAGGCTCCAATCCGGACCATTTGAACTAGTCGAGCGCACCGGCTAACCACGAGGCCACCGCGCCTTCCACATGCACACACTGTACCCTAGATTTTTCCACAAAGAATAAATCGTGAACGGTGGAGAAAGCAACAAACTCACCCGTAAGCCGCATGATGCAACGCCGAGTAATCCTGTTCGTCCTAACAACAGAAAAGGGAAGAGAGATACATAAAGGTGTATTGTCGCGTCACTAGCGTGGGATAAACAAAATCTGAGACCTGGTGAAACCCAGGCCCTTCGGAACCTGCGTTCCGATGCTGTACCACTGACCTACAGAGATTTTCACGGTGCGCTAAGCCATTATCGTGGTCCTAAAAGACACATGTCTTGCAGATGCTACGATCTCGGTATTGTCAAAAGTTTCATGTGAATAAAAAAAAAAATAGCGAGCTAAAGCTAATTTCGCGGTTGGGCTCTCAACCAAACAAGTCACAAATACCTTAAAATGCAAAGATATCAAAAGATGTCAAACTGGAGCTCATTCTAGTACGCTTAACATAAGAGCAATGTTTATCTGTCATTAATTCTAACCTTAACATCCTTGTCAGCGCCTTTGTTTACGAGAAACTTAACAATTTCGGTGCGACCTTGATGACAGGCTACATGAAGAGCGGTTTTGCCCGCTCTCTTGTGATTAATCTGCGGATGGAAAAAAAAAAAGTGTCAGATACGGCTGCTTACAAATTTGTAGTCATTTGTCGCGTGATAAAATCAATAGGCTAATCACAACACCTTTCCGGGATTTGCTTCCAGGAGTTCGCGGACTTCTTGTAGGTTTCCAGTTGAAGATGCGTTCACTAATCTGTCCCCAGGATCACTTCCTCCTTTCTTGGCCGCCTCTACCAACATCATCTTAAGAAGGCCTTGTAGCTCCGTTAGCTTGTCTGCTTTAGAAAATAAATCGGAAAGAAAAGTTAGTTTAAGAACTTAGTTATCAATACTTTGTATTGTCGAGATTCTTGCTCAAGCCAACTATCAACTATCGCAAGAAACAGTGTGACTTTTCTCTCATGATACACCAACACAGCGGTCCAACACCGTCTTGCATGCGCGAGGGGATCAGTTCTGGCCGACCGTGCGCCAGTAGAGAGATTTGGCGACGCGTTTACGCGAAACGTGAATGGCAAGAGTGACCACGTGACCTTGTTTTTCCCGCCATTTTTTCACGTTCGCCGGTTGCGGTTTGCCGTTTCTACGTGAAAGTAGCCTGTTTCGCGTTTGCCATGTACGTAAGGATTTTCTTCACTTTTTCTCTCACGGACTAGAAGTTGATAGCCGGATAAAGAGCACTAAAACTATTCCTTGTAAGTCATACAAGGACGCCTTCAAATTTACAATGACGTGAGCTCATAAGAAGCTAAAGCAGCAACGTTCACGCTATTGTACGTGAAACGTAAAAGAGCAAGCTGACGTTTGCCGTTTCACTTCAAAGCGGAGCTAAATCTCCCTAATAACACAGCAATCAAACGTAAAGTATGCGCAAGGGAACCACTATGGCCGGCAGCGCGCAAATTTCTCGAGCAAAATTTCAAAGCACAACATATTTCTGTAGCGTTTATGTACATGTATAAAGTTTTGAAATTCATGCTTGAGAGTACATTTTCCTGACCTGGAGATCCAGTTGGAACTTCACCCTGTCGCGAAGTAGCCTCGCCTCCCGTTAGATCTTCCATTGCTGCTGGGTTGAACAGCCAAAGGTCCGTAGCTACCATAACCACAACATCACCATCGCTGTCCACCTCTAGAATCTTCCCTTCTTTACCCAAAGCCTAAAAAAAAAAAAATGAAATAAACAAATATATGTCTCGAGTCCTCGAAACAATAGTTAAAGTAATTGACAATTTGGACGACCGCACAAAACGAAACTGACAAATCGGACACCCGCCCTGCGGTCGTTCGATCTTGTAACCACTTGTGTGATTACAGATCGAATTGGACTCTATTCATAAACTTTCAGTCTTATTACCATTACTAATTTGGACGCAAGTATTAGCCGCAAAGTCGCGTATTGTAACTTTTAAGTTCAAATTGGGACATGTAACCGTAAAACAGCAAATTCTACGAGAAACACTTACCGCCGTCATTGACTCATTCCAGCCACCGTGTCCTTGCTGTAAATTTTGAACTTCTTGCTTGTTTCTTAATACTCTCACTTTATCTCCAGCCTGGAAAGTCGGTAACTACAATGAAAAAAAATCAACTTGTTAACGAGAACATCTTGGGAAGGAGAGATGTTTTCGGGCAGTTACCGAAGGGGTTTGGAAAGAGTTTAATCTTTCAACTGCTGCCTAGAGTGTTGAAATTCTTGGGCTAGGAAGGCCACGGACTCTCTTCTTGTTTCTTGGTCAATGTCATTTCACCTCTTCTGTCGATTGTTGAAGACCAAGTTAAATACCTTTGATCATTGGGAATCGATCCGATGCTGTTTTCAATGGGAAAAACAAAACCAAAGACCAAGAAATATTGGATGGAAAGGGCGGGTTTGCTTTATTGCAAATGTCAGCTTAGTAGTACAGGGTCGTCTACCCACATGTAATAAGCAAAAGTTTCCACGCTTAGCTTTTCTTGTTTTTCAAGCCAAGATGAGATTAGAGTTTGGCACGCACAGAAAATTGCGCAAGGACCAGTTGCTCGACATACCTGCGTGGCCCGTGCGGCGAAATAACTTCCCGGGATTGGCAAAGTTTCAGTCACAGCAAATTATGCAAAAAATCTAGAAAGATTTAAGCTTAAATCTCGTTGAACGTTTAAAGCGACATATCAATGACTGCAATCATCGTGTTGTATACAAACCTCGCAAACTTTAAAACACGTTCTCTACTGATACCTGCGAAAGTATTCAGAATAATTTCCGGTAAGATTTTCGCGGACATGATCGATTTCTCTTACATTGTGTGCTGAGACTGAAACTTTTCACCTCGAGCAAATCTCCGTCACAAGGTCCAAACAAACATAGCGAGCAACTGAGCTACTAGTATATGTCCGTGTTAAAACACACGAAAGGACTCTAAAGCACACTTCACTCTGATTGGGCAGAAAAACACAAAGATTTTCTGGCACCAATCAGATGGCAGAACGACTGCGACCGTTTGGAACTAGTCTTGTAAGACAATGTCCCCAGGGGCTCTTCATGCCCTAACTTGAAATCGACCCACAGCCCCTGGGTCTCCGAGGATGAGTCTAGGCGAGCCTGTTACAGAAGTTCCGTGAGTACAACGAAGCGCGAAGGAAAAAAAGCGGAGGTCTGGGTCGGGTCGCTTGTCTCTAGGAGTTTGCTTCGTCGTTTATCGCTTATTCGTAAGTGGATCACTGAAACCTTAAACTCCCCGTTATCTCCAGATTAGTCCGCGCTCCTAGCGTTTGGCCAACAACATGATCTTCTAAATGCTAGCTAAGTGATTATTTTTACCGAATGGATAGTCCTAAATTCCACTGGCTTAAACATATACCCCGTTCACACAGTTGAAATACGTTTGAAAGCTTTTTTGCCAAACACTGTTTGAAATTGTTGTCCTGATCAAAGCTGCCTAAACTCATGTTTCTGGACTTCAAATTTAGCACCGTAAGAAAGAAAGGTAACTTATCACTTGAGCCCATGTAAAATTTTAATAAGTCTTTCAGTTCTGTATTGCTGATTTTTATTTAGTAAAGCTGATTTAACCAATCTTGCTTTACTAGCGTAAATGGAGCATTTATCATGGACTCACCTTAGTGACTGCATCTGGATGGAATACCCATGACTGGAGCCCATACATGATGTGAACATCACCGTCATCGTCTATTTTATGTATTTTTCCCACCTTACCAACACACTGAGTAAAAAGTTAACAAAAAAATCAGAAAAAGAATATCAACAACTACAAAACATTGAGGATGTTAAATGGCCGCATGGGGAATTACGAATTTTATTACACGACTCGGGCAGTCAGAGGGCCAATAACTAAAATCAACCAATCAAAATGCTCTATTGCCGGTCAATATTCTCTCAGTATTGGACCAGGCACTGTCCCGAATGGTCCCGAATGATACCGCACTTGTGTCCCTTTGAACTTCTGTCGTATAATAAATCTCTTATTAACCAAGCTTGCTCGTGACAATACTGGAAGAATATCGGCCCTCGGTCTTTTTTGTACGGACCTCGCTGCGCTCGGTCCGTACTGTCAAGACCTCGGGCCGATATTCTCCCAGTACGGCCCTCGCGCTTGGTTAATAAGATATATTTATCTTCATGTGCTACAAGTACCTCTCATGAGTGAGCGAAGCGAACATAAAACACAACTTTTTTGAAGAACCAGCCATGCGCCTGAATGGGAAGCTCTCTTGTAATTGGCTAATCATGTTAGTAACCATGGCGACACCAATATCCTCACACGTGAAAGATAAAAATAGTATCTTCACTGTGTGCTATGAAAGTATGATTTTTCAGTTCAAGGAAAAATCCTGGTGTTTCATCAGTATCTATATAATAAACTGTTTTATTGACCCCTCTTTATGAGGGCTTATCAGGGACAATAAAATATAAAAAGTCAAACAAAACAAAAACTAAATATTAAATTAAAAAAAAAATGAAATTACACAGAGTATTTATAACAAGACCATAACCATAATATAGAGAGTAAATACACTCTTACCTGTCCCATGCTATCAACCCAGCCACCATGTCCCTGGGACATTGCTTTAAGTACCTCCACATCCAGGTTCACGATAACTCTGTCACCAATCCTCAATCGACTTTTGTTTCTCTGCAGCCGTTTATCACCAACTCTACCCAGGCAATCACGATAGTAATATGGCCCATTTCCAGGAGTTGTACATTTGAGATCGACCTGAATGGAGAACATAACACATTGAACAATTATTAAGGATGCAGCTCCAAAGAAAACAAGAAAGCCCAGAAGTTTAAACTTTGAAAAAAACATTATACCTTGCTAAGGTCCGGCTTAGAATATGAAAAGTGAATAATCTATTGTATAATTGCACTAAGGAAGCAATGGTTCTTAAATCACTGTAAATACTTTAATGAGCCCCCCTCTAATAAGTCCCCCCTCTATTAGGCCCCTCCCACCCCTCCCCCTCAAAAAACAAAAATTCAAAATAACACTCTATGTCAATAAGCGTGATAAATCTATTCAAATACTTTAATTTTAGTTTGTCATTTAAAATTGATTATGGTGATTAATTGACTGATGTTATCATGTTGGCATCTATAGAACATGGAATATGGAAATTAAAGAGCGATGGTAAAAACAAGGTCCATTGAGAGACTTAGATCATAAAATTGAGTTCTTTATTGAGTTTTAAACTAATAAGCCCCTCCCTCTAAAAAGCCATCCCCCCCCCTGGGGGGGCTCATTATAGGATTTACATTAGTTTTGGCAAATATCCAACCCGGCCCCTCTCTGTATATCACTGAATCAAATGTCATGTCCAACTAAGCTTTTGAGCACTCCAGTCCTATTGCCAATGAAAAGGAATGGAAATAAATAGTGGCCTAACTCTTTAACTCCCAGAAGTGATTAACATGTAACTTCTCCCTAAAATATTCCTGCGCCATCCAGAAAACAAATAATGAGAATACTTGAACTTATTGCATTGGTGTTGCAGGAATCAGCACTAACTATTCAACTTACTAGCCATGCAGCTAGTGACATCCTAGATGTTACGACAATTTCAGTTTGTTTACTAGCCAAGCTGGCTTGTGGAAATGGAAAGCCACTAGCCAAAACTGAATTTCTACTAGTCTGTGGCTAGTGGGCTACCGTTAGTGTCGAGCCCTGGTGTTGTCATCTTGATCTGATGCCAAATTCTCCTAGCCTATTTACAAGGAAATGTGTAACAGCTTGAGGGGAGAATTAAAAATCAGATTATGGAAGTTTTAGGGTTAAAGACAAATTGATTGTAAACCTGAATAAATGAATTTAAGTAATGCTTTCTAAAAACATTATACTTTGCCAGAATTTTTAGTCAGGGCAATCAGATAATGGAAAAGTGAACTCTTTCTTCTCCAGCCCTCCATGCGGTCACTGGTTCTTCATGGATTCATTACTACTACTCATGTCTCCACCTGACCAACAGTCTGCCGCACACTAAAAGCCAGCCTAATCTTTTCTTACCAATCCTTGGTATCCTGCTCGGTATGTGTTGTTTCTAAGTATATTCCAGATAACCTTCGCTCCTGCCCTCTCCACATTACTCCAAGCAGTGATCTCTGTCAAAGTGCCAATCCTACCAGTGCCACCATCTTGATCAGCCCATTTCCAGTCTCTTCCGCGAGCAACTTTGGCTCCAGGGAAAAATCCCTTGGATTGTACCTTAACAGCACCTGCACGCCTACCAACAGGTATTCTTGAAAAATGAAAGTGAACAAAATAAAGAGATGGTAAATTTTAGGTTGGGAGTTATGAGAATATTGCTGACAGACTGCGAGAGCTAATATCCCAGTTTTCATAACACATATATCTTATTAACCAAGCGCAAGGGCCGTACTGGGAGAATATCGGCCCGAGGCCTTGACAGTACAGACTGAGCGCAGTTGGGTCCATACAAAAAAGACCGAGGGCCGATATTCTTCAAGTACGGTCCCAAGCAAACTTGGTTAATAAGAGATTTATTATATAACTGAAGTTCAAAGGGACACAAGTGCGGTATCATTCGGGACCATTTGGGACAGTGCCCAGTCCAATACTTAGAGAATATTGGACCGGCAATAGAGCATTTTGATTGGTTGATTTTAGTTATTGGCCCTCTGACTGCCCAAGTCGTGTAATAAAACCCTTTAATTCCCACGAGTGACCAAGACAGAATTTCTTCTTACAATATCAATACAATATTGAGCAGACAAGTAATGAGAATTAAGAAAAATATCAAATAGGGCCGGGATTTCAAGTTGATCCATAACCAAATTCTCTGAACTAAAATTGTAAAAATTGTATGGCAAACAGCAAGGAGAATATTAAAGAGATCCTGGGAGTGCGGAAAGGGAGAAAGTGATTGGAAGATGCGAGTGATGGGCTTGCTCTTCATCCATCATGTTAGTCCACCACCCGTAACCCTACACAAATGTCAAACTTCCCTGATTCAGGGTTTGTACACTTTTTCAGGCCAAAGATTCAAGAACTTTTCAAGGACTTTCCAGGACCCTACTTAGAAANTCCTCCCCTGGGTGGGATGGGTGGGTTTACAGAGGGCCATGTGTTAGAAAACTCTTTACTGGGTTAATCATGTATTTACCCTCTTGAAATAAAGAACATTGTATTGTATTGTACTGTTAGTAGTAACGAGAATTAAGAAAAATATCAAATGGGGGGTTTCAAGTTGATCCATAACCAAATTCTCTAAACTAAAGTCGTAAAAATTGTATGGCAAACAGCAAGAAGAATATTAATCAGATCCTGGGAGTGTGGAAATGGATAAAGTGATTGGAAGATGTGGGTGATGGGCTTACTCTTCATCCATCCTGTTAGTCCACCACCTGTAACCCAACACAAATGTCAAACTTCCCTGATTGGTTACCCATAACAAGTTACACTACTCCTGGGCGAGTGACACGATCAAGGTAAGGGGTATTGCCTTAGAAAACATCTATAAGTGAATCACAATGACCTTTTCTGGTATGAAACACGGCTTTCTGTATTAGTAACCTATCATTCACAGCACTTGGCCAGAGATAAGAAAGAACGCCGAAAGAAAGTGTAACAAGTCATTTCCAGTATTTTAAGTTAATGTCTTACTATCCTTGTAAGTGAAACAACTCACACTTAGGGACTACAAAACTTTTGAAGCATTCACAAATTAAATTAATGTTGAGGTTTGATCATGTAGGATACATCTGTGTGAGTCAGTAGTCCTAAGAAAGATCACTGTGATCTATGCAGTAAAGGATGTTTCCATGACCATACAGGAAGTCATCATTAGAGAGAATGCTGACTTCCACTGAGGATAATTAACAGTCCTTCTTGGTCCATCAGACAACATCATCAAATGCAGCTCCTGCTCTCAAAAATTTTACTGTATTAAATTACATAAAGGATTGAATAGGAAGAGTGAGTCAAGTGAGGAAAAAAGAAGAAAAATTTGAAGGGACAAAAGGAAGAAGAAAAAGTATGAACAAGACTAAAAATTGCAGTAGAGAGAGAAAGATTAGAGGGGAAAGTCGAGCAAATTGCTGAGTAACTTACCCATCTTGTCGAGAAACTTGATCAAATCGCAAAAAATCATGCTGCATATCATGAACATCATTCGTGAAACACGTCGAACACAAATCATAGTTTGGACAGTCAGCACATTTGTATCGTATTCCAATGAGGGGATCTTGCCTGCAACCATCACAAATGACGCTCATGTGCTTTAAACCTGTGAAAAGAGCATTAAAACCATCCAAATTGTTATGGTTCTACTTCTTTTCCTGTTGTTACTGATGTATGCAAAAAACCTGGCTAACGTAGTAAACGTTTCATTTCTCGAGGAAAGTTAATGAAGAAATTAGTGTCACTTATCACTCACGGCAGTCACTCGCAAATCGCTGTCTGTAGAGTTTTCCAGTTTAGTATTAATTTCCAACAAACCGCATTCTCATTATTTCAATAATGATCAAGGGTGACTTCAATATGTGAATCATATAAATTTTAGGAAGTAAGGCTAGAGAAATAACGATCAAAAACTTAAACTATCACTTGTTTGCAGGACATAAATAGTGAAAGGTAGGACACGATGGACAGTCACCTATGAGCCTCTACCTCAAATTGGTGGCCAATATAGTAAGAAAGTTAGTTTGACGTAGCCTTTGAATTCGATCGAATATCGGCCTTCGATCCGCTTTAACAAAGGGGATCGAAAAATATCAGAGAGAATTCCGTGGATGTCGAATTGTTGCAACATTTTCAAAAACGTAAACAATATTGTACAACTCGCTGGAGGATAGCGTGGGAAGTCGTTAATCTATTTCTCTCTCTCTTTTAACTTTCGCTTGTATTTTTGAATTAAAAAATAAATCAATAATTCACTTGCCTGTTTGAGCGCTGTCGAAGATTCGTAGATCATACTTTCCAGAATATCCTGCCCTATAGTTCGCGTGTCTTCCAGAATCCCAGTACACCAAAACAGTGTCTTCAGGAAAGTTTCCATCGCCACCAAGATGGACGACTGTCCCCACATTTCCCTCACCTCCGTCCTGATCACCCCACATCCAGTCGGGACCACGAACAACACGTAGACCAACCTCCATTGTTTGCTTTATTTCAGGGTCTGAAACCCATCAACATGGTCCGAACATAAAACATTCAAGTGACCGCCATTTTGAAAACGAAAGCGATCGAATGATGAGAGCCTGTTTAATCGCATGTCGTGGAGAAGATTGCGTGACACAGGGATTGACTTCCGGGAAAATTCCCTGAAATCAGGCTTGTTTCGAAACCTTTGTGACGAGGGTGACCAATCGTAGAATCACGCAGAAAAATGCACCTTTCTAAAAAGTTCCATCTTTTGTTAAAAACAAATCGCTAAGTAGCTATTCCTTGACTTTGTCTTGTTGATTTTGAATTCCATCCATGCCAAATTCAGAGCACTTTCCATATCCACTATCAAGAGAAGTAGAATTAATTCAGTTATATGTCTCTTATAAGCTCTCTTCATCTCCCGGTGTTCTACAATACAATACAATACAATACAATACAATACAATGTTCTTTATTTCGAGAGGGTAGATACATGATTAACCCAGTAAAGAGTTTTCTAACACATGGCCCTCTAATAAACCCACCCAACCTCCCCCCCCAGGGGAGGACATCCATCACACAGTAATCTCGTGTGTGGGAAATTAACGTCTCCTACCCCGTCCCTGCAGGAGACGGGACCTCCATTTATTCGTCCCTATCCGACACGAAGCACGCTTTTACCATCTTGAGCTTTCTCTGGTTTGATGCTACTTTAAGCATATTGCGTCCTCATTGCGCTTGATTACCAGGACATGTAAAATTCATGACTCATTACAAGTTGTGAACGGAAAAGAGAAACCAGGAAGTAGCCAGTCTTTAGTGGGATATTTACCTAGTCATTTGTCTATTAGAAAGCGAATGATGTCTTTTGAGATTTCTCAGGTCCACACAAGGTCTCGATAAAAAGTGCCAATTTGTGATTTTTTTTTACTTAAGTTTACATTTATTACTTTCTCGCCCCCTGCATGCTCATAGTTGCTATACAAAAATCAGTGTAACTCCAATCATTCCAATTATATCCGAAGACTTCCGAAGAAATTTAGTAGTTTCGAACACATCCAAAAAAACCGTGCTCCGTTGTGGGATTTTGGCCAATATAGTGGCCGCTTTTGCGTTTTGGCCACTAGGGGCCCTTTTCCCATTTTAACCACTAGTGGCCACTGCTGGCCGTTTTGGCATTTTAGCTAACGATAGCCGTTTCAACAACTTGGCCACTAATAGCCCTTTTAGCGCTTTCGCAACTAGTGGCCGTTTTAGTATTTTTGGCCATTCAGGTGGCTGTTTCGGCATTTTGGCCATGCACTTGTAGCCGTTTTGGCATTTTAGCCACTAGTGGCCGTTTTAGCATTTTGGCCACTAGAGGCCGTTTTCGCATTTTGAACACAAGTGGCGGTTTTGGCATTTTGGCCACTAGTGGCCG